GGGGCTACCCTGCCCCGGCTCCTCAGCCCCTTGTCAGGGCCGTCCCCCAGCTCTGCCCTCCCGGGTCCCGGCCAGTCCTGGAGGCGGGAGCCCTGGCTGAAGGGACCCTGGGCTGAGGCACAGCATGGGAGCCTCACTGCTTACGCCGACCCTGCCAGCGCTGGACTAGCTGGAGGCGAGGGGGGAGCAGAGGGAGTCAGCACTAGTGGGGGGGAGCCCAGGGTTGGGGCGGCAGGGGGTGTGTGTGGGGGGGGAGAGAGCCCAGGGCTGGGGGGACAGGGGTGCTGGTGGGGGAGGACACTGGTGTGGGGGGGTGAGAGCCCAGGGCTGGGGTGGGAGGCAGCCAAAAATTGTTTTGCTTGGGGCGGCAAAAAACCTAGAGCTGGCCCTGCCTGCATATTCCCTGAAAAAAGAGGTACTAAGATAAACTAGTGTTCATGGAAAACCAGTTGCACAAGACTTCCAGCTGAGAATTTAACTTGCTTCTTTATGAAGAGTCTTGAATGATTTCTTCAAAATAAAATAATCTTTTCTGCTTGCTTTTAACATGGGAGATGATGGGTCCTCTTCCTGCTGGAGAACTTTAACAAGATTTTTGGAGGACCTAAACAGTAATGTCTTACAAGGCTAAATTGTACTTTAGCTCACTTCCTCCCCCTGAAGGGAAAGATTCTGACTTAAATTGTCTGCAGTTATGGTCCTAGCCTTGCAGCAGCCCACTGTTCATGTCCTCCAAAGATCATTGCAAGGTCATCCAGCAAAAATTGAGTACTTGATATTTCTGACATTGCAAAAGAAAAAATCAAGCAGGAAAACTCTTTTGGTAAGAGAAACATGTCACATTTCAAATGTTAAAAAGGTTGTGAGTACTGGTCCAATTTGCAAGTGAGTGCATAAAGGTAGCCTCTTAAATTCATATTGATGTATCTAAATGAGTGCTGAGCCATCGTGCCCCTTTTAGGTAGGTGCCTCCATGTGCATATAGGAGCCTATCTGTAGACATTCATGTTTGAAAATTTGGCCGCTGCTTATACTTTGTTCCTTCATAAACAATAAGACTAACCAAGCTCCCCATCCCTATGAAGAGTGAATGAACTGTCATTAATCCAGAGCCATTTTATACTCCAGGCATTACTGCACTTTGCCCAAGTCACTTACTTTGATTCTGGAGTTATACTCTAACATATTAGGACAATTTACGTAATCAGAGTTTTTGCAAGGAGGATTTGGTATCTGTAGCATTAGGCTCTGGGCTCAGTGATGATTGTTTTTAAAATGTAGCCTTGGCACTAAAATGTTCAAAGGTAATTTTCTGCTTCCCTGGCTTCTTCCATAACTTGGATGATCCATATCCAGTTTCTCTGACTAGAGACATAATTTTAACAATATTGTTTCTTGTCTCAGTGTCCACATCTCTCAGATTTTCCATGTCACATCATTAAAACTTGCTATGAAAATGTCATGGGATTACAATGAAATTATTCAGCCCTTTCCTGGAGGCCAAAAAAATGAAGTCTCTTAGTAAAAAAAAAAGGGAATGTGTTTTTTAATGTGTCTTTCCAGTTCTTTAACCTTATTTTGAATTTCCTTGCTTTTGTGAATTAAAGTGGACCTAAATATATCAATACAGTCACTTTCTGCCCTTGAACATTGTTTTGGCTTATGCTTCCAATGTCTTGTATGCAGTAAACTCGTCATCACATTGTATCTACAGAAAAAGAGGGTCTTGAGTAAGTAGAAAGATGCTACAAAACAAATATT